ATCAGTTCAAGCCCGAAAGGGCAACAGAGTCACGTGACAGACACAGTGATGATGCAGTACACAAGCCACGGTAAAGACAGCTGACGTGCTATGATTTCTGACAGACTTCAAAGAGAAAGGAAAACTTGAAATCGCATCATATGACCCCTTTAATTTATTATGGGGAATGCTTTTGGAAATGTGCTTAATTTTATGAAAATAATGGTCCTTAAATTTCTAAATATTTCTTTCTTTTGAATTTGGTGAAAAATATAACGGTCCAACCTATGGGCAGTGTATAGGAAACCTGTTTGGAAACCAGCATTTTTTTAAATTCACACTTCACCTTTAAAATAACAATACAACAAGAATAATAAGACAAATCTAAATTCAAGCATCTTGACTAATGACAAATCCTGATTCTGATGATGGGTTGCATGTGTATTTGGTAAATAATGCCCCATGAGGCCTTCTAATAAAATTCATCAGCTGTAAATGCTCTCTTAAATTCCTTCAGAATTTGTCAGAATGGACTCAGGGGCAATATTTACTACTTTTATCTCTCTTTGGTTTTGTGTTTGCATCTTCTTTTCACTTCCTTTCATCATTTTGAATCAAATGGCCCTTTTACAAATGATTAATGATGCATCATTTTAGCTCCATTCCAAAATCTAGTGAGATCTCTGCTGCCCTGTGAGCGCACCTGTAATGCCTACTAGATAGACTGCTGTCTAGATAGGCAGCTCACTAGGTTTTGGAACGGAGATTTAGTCTGTACTGAATTGTCAGATTTCTGGGCCCTAATTTCCCTGTCAGTTCCCAGTCTGTGTGAGTAATTGCTGGTTTTGGCCCTCACAGCGGATGCAATGCAGTCTCACAGCATCATGTTTGCGGATCACTCCAATCCTTCGTCTCCGGCATCTGTTCCAGCCTTCCGCGGGGCACGCAGGGCCAGCGAGACCAGCATCGCCAGCCAGGTGTCGGGGTTAGTGGACAGTTACACCGCCTCCAACATCGCCAACAGTAAGTTAACACACACACACACACACACAGTCGGTTAGCAGAATACAATAATCTACATATCAACTATATTATATTGCAGCAGTGGAGTAATTGAGTAATTGGTGTTTTTACCACAAAACACTTTTTTTTCCATTTACATTAAATATGGAATAAATGAATACATTAATATACTCACTATGGTTTAAAAGTTCGGGATCTTTAATTTTTAAAATGTTTTTGAAATAACTTTTTTATGCTCTCCAAGGCTACATTTATTTGATCAAAAATACAGTAAAAACTGTTAAAAATTATTAAAATATTATTACTGTTTAAAGTAACTGTTTTCTATTTTTTAAATATATTTTAATGTGTCATTTATTCCTGTGCAAAGATTGCAAAGATTAATTTTCAGCAGCCATTGAACATGAATTTTAATTTTGTTAATTTGCAGTAGTGCATAAATAGATTTTACAGTATATTTTATTTAAAATTAGTGATACTTATTATTATTATTGTCTTTAATTACATTTGATTTAATTAATTTCATCTATTTAATTTGTTATTTTTTTAAATGATTACAATGCTACTATTATTATTAATGTTGAAAAAATATTAAGCATAAAAAACATACAAATATTATACAAATAACAATATTATTTCTGCAAATGTTATATATATAATATGTAATTACACACACATACATACAGTATATATAGTAGATTATGATTATATATAGATTATGAAATAGTTTTTATTCCATTTTTTTTGTTTGAAATGTATTTTTCTTGAATAAAAAAATATTACTGTGTTATTATCAGTGTTTTGCTGCGTAATACTTTTTGTAGAAACCATTAAACATTTTTTTCAGGATTTTTTAAAGTTCAAGAACGGCATTTATTTGGAGTAGAAATCTTTGGAAACATCATAAAAGTCTTTGTCTCATTTGATCAGTTTAATGAGTCTTTGCTAAATAATAATAATTATTTTTCTTTAACGGTAATGCATCACGGTTTCCACAGAAATATTAAACAGCAAAAACAGTTTTTTTAATGCTGCAGATATAGCTAGGAACTATCACACATGTCATGTTCATCTTTTGACTGCTGTTGATTTGATGTTATGAAATAGTTTTTATTCCATTTTTTTTGTTTGAAATGTATTTTTCTTGAATAAAAAAATATTACTGTGTTATTATCAGTGTTTTGCTGCGTAATACTTTTTGTAGAAACCATTAAACATTTTTTTCAGGATTTTTTAAAGTTCAAGAACGGCATTTATTTGGAGTAGAAATCTTTGGAAACATCATAAAAGTCTTTGTCTCATTTGATCAGTTTAATGAGTCTTTGCTAAATAATAATAATTATTTTTCTTTAACGGTAATGCATCACGGTTTCCACAGAAATATTAAACAGCAAAAACAGTTTTTTTAATGCTGCAGATATAGCTAGGAACTATCACACGTGTCATGTTCATCTTTTGACTGCTGTTGATTTGATGTTGTTTTTTTCTCTAGTAGCGCAAGCATGCCAACTTAGTCTCTCCAAAAAGCTCAGTCTTTTGTCCCAATTGGCCCTTCCCTATAATAAAAGCAGCTCCCGAAGCCCCTCCCCCAAATCCAGCAAAGCGCAAAATAAGCAGCAGGTAGAAAGGCAGGATTCCAGCTGTTTGGATGATTCAGAGCAGAGCGTCTCTCTAGGCTTTGAGCCCTCACCCTCCCTCGCCTCAGACCCGCCATCTCCATGTGTCCCGCTGGACATCAAGCAAGGTACTTGGAGTGTGGGTAGACATCCGGTCGGAAGGTCTCCTGGACCCTCCAGATGCACCCGCTCTCCTGTTTGCCTCAGACCCGCCATCTCCATGTGTCCCGCTGGACATCGAGCAAGGTACTTGGAGTGTGGGTAGACATCTGGTCGGAGGGTCTCCTGGACCCTCCAGATGCACCCGCTCTCCTGTTTGCCTGCATTAGTTTCTACCATTACTGCATTCCCTGCAATCCCTCCTACTTCCTGTTTTAGCCCTCCAAATCTTCAGCCTGTTTTCTTGCTGACCTCCCCAGCGCTGATGCCCTTGTTTTTCGAATTCATGCCCCCTTCCTTTTAAAGCTTTAAAGCTTTTGGTGCTCTGGTTCTTCATCTCCTGAGCCCTAAGCCGCTCTGGGTTTGCTCTGAATGATGAAAACCCTCTGAAGATGCTTTGAAGGATGTTGACTTGTCTTGCTCCCATTATCTGGCTGTGCATCATGCTCATGGCGTGTATGTCTTCTGTTAGCGGTCGCTTATACATAAGGATGGGAATCACTAGGAGTTTAGTGATTCTGATTCCACACAATTTTGTTAAAATAATTTTGACGAAGCAGCCCCACCCAATAAGTGATCATATTTATATGTTAAGCAAAATTACTTATTTTTAAATTAAAATTGATTTTTATCTTAAATTTAAAATGTTTAAAGATTATTACAAAATGGTTATCTTTATTACATTAAAATGCACTGTTATTGATAACATATTTTAATGTAATAATTAAACAACACAAAAAATTATTAAAATTTTTAACACATTAATAATAATTTTAAATAAATAATAATAAATTAATAATATATTTTTTTAAATAACATCACAATTCATATTATTATGCAACTAATTTAATATTCACCCAAATAATATAATATAATTTAATATTATATTATTTCGGTGAATATTAAATAATAGATTACTAATTATGAATTGTTAATTTTGTGGTAATGTATAAATTATTTTATTATTATATATTTAAAATTAGTTTAACCAAATTATTATAAATTAAATATCATTATTATTAATTAATTAATTAAAAATTAATTAAAAATATATTATTTGCGTATATTAAGCAAATAATTATCAAATTTAGCATATAGAATAGGGACATGAATTCTTTATTTCTTGGTAATGTATAAAATGTTTTATTATTATTTATTTAAAGTTAGTCTAACCAAATTATTATTATTATTTTTATTATTAGTTTAAAAAATGAATTACAAAAATGTTATATGCATATTTTGCAAATAATTATCAAATTTGCATATAGATCAGGGACATTAATTGTTAATTTTGCTGTAGTGCAAAAATGGTTTTTATTGCAAAATTTGTATTATTAATTATTCTTACCTATTTTTTAAATTACATATATTTCAAGAATTTGTTTTTGATAACACTTGGAGATAAGGGAGCCTTTTTAAAACTGATTTATTAAAAATCACTTCATAACCACTTTATTTAAAACCACTTCATAAGAGTTGTTTGTGAATCGGACTACACGGTTCACACTGTAGGTTTGTTGTTGCGTGCAACCAGTGAGGACGACGCAATACAACAGATACATTGTCTGTTGATTGTATTTTTTCACAACCCCCAGTTTTCCCAGTCAAAATAGAACCAGTTTTAAAAAAGAACTGTTTTTGATTCCCAATCCTAGTTGTAGAGAACTAGAGGCCATTCAAGAACATTCAACCCAAATTGAAAGAATTACAAACCAAAAACAGGGTTGTGTTCTTGAGTGTCTTTGCAATGGGTCATGGGAGGAAGCAGAAAAGAGATGTGCACTACAGCCTCGCACGGCCCAGTGCACATTACAAAACAACAACTTTCCATTTCTTTAATTCCTTTTGAGCCCCTGAAGCAATCCTGCATCACATGTCCTCGTCCTGTCCTAGAACCAGTGGCTGAAACGTTCATGAATTATGTACAGATGAAACCGAAATCTGTAATGGTATTTGAAGCTGCTGTTGTAGCGGTAATGGTTTGGACAGGCATGCCTGAACGTCCCGTGTCGTCTCTCCTGCAGTCGCTGCTCGCTGGTGGGGCACGAAGCGCATTGATTTCGCTCTGTATTGTCCTGATGCTTTGACTGCGTTCCCCACCGTGGCTCTACCTCACCTGTTTCACGCCTCCTACTGGGAATCAACGGACGCTGTGTCTTTCCTGCTCCGACAGGTGAAGATTACCATATTATTTAAGATGATAAAATATGAATTCTGCTTAAAGAATCGTTAGGAGTTATTTGCATCTGGAAACATTCGCTATGCAGGTACAGCATGTAGTACTGCATAAAAAAAAGCAGCTCTTCTAGGATAATTGTCCATAGTTGATTGTAATGAAATTAGGCAAATATAATATAATTATTTTTTTTTCTGGATTTTATTAAAATACATTTAATTTAAGTTTTTTTATTTATTATTTTATTGTATTTTTATAAATTTTATATTTAGTTATTTAAATGTTTAAAAGGGTTACTATAAAATGGTTATCTTTATTATATTAAACTTCACTATTTTCAGTAACAAAAAAGGCAATAATCCTAGAAAAAACATTCCTTTTAATCAAATTTGGCAAATACAATGTAATTTTTTGTTTTTTTTTCCCCCTAATCTTTAAAAAATATATATTTTTCATTTTTTTATTATGCCATTTATTGTACTTATACGTTTTTATTTAGTTATTTAAATATATTTAAAAGACCATAATAAAATTGTCATATCTTTATTAAATTAAACTTTCCTGTTTTTGGCAACATTTTAAAATAATAAAATAAGTGCAATTATCTTAGAATAGCAATTCCTTTTAATTAAATTGGACATATATAATATAATTGATAATGTTTTTCATGGCTTTTATTAAAATATTTTTTATTCATTATTTTTGTATTATGTCATTGTATTAGTATGTTATTTTTTATTATTGTTATTTTTTTATTTTATTTATTTAAATGTTCAAATAAAATACAAAATTAAAATAAAAACATTTTCATAATCATGTTTTTATTTATTTGATAATAATTTTTTTTATTTGTAGATATCTTGTAGTTATTTTAATGTTTAAAAGTCTATTATATAATTATCTTTTTTATACTAAACTTTACCGTTTTTTGCTAACATTTTATGTAGTAAAATAAGGGCTTGCCAAACAATATTAAAAATCTAATTGCAAAAAAATAAAATTAATTACAAAAAGATTGTGTTTTAGTGATACTTCATCTAGGAAGGAAAATAACTCAATTGGGGAACATACAGATTGGGGGCGTTACTTGTTAATTCTTAGTGCATCAATTGTTTTTATTGCATAAAGTAGCATTTTATTTACCATTAAAACAATCATCCTATAAACACAATTCCTAATGAAATTGGGCAAATGTAATTTTATTTATTATTTTTCCGGCTCTCAGGTAATGAGGCATGAGAACTCCAGTATTTTGGAACTCGATGGGAAGGAGGTGTCAGAATTCACTCCGTCCAAACCGCGGGAGAAGTGGATAAGGAAGAGGACCCACGTGAAAATCAGGGTGAGATGGGCACCTCAACATCTCAGAAATCCCAAATTACTGTTAAATCCATTAAGGGAATGTTGCTGACGTAAAGATGTGTTTGTGTTGAAGAACGTTACGGCAAACCACCGTGTGAACGATGCTGTGTTTACGGAGGACGGCAATCAGGTGGTCACGGGTCGCTTCATGTACGGGCCGCTGGACATGGTCACACTGACAGGAGAGAAGGTTAGTGACCTGTGAACTTCAGTTCATGTAGATCCCAGTGAAAAATGAGTAAGACCACCTTAACTTCACTCACGTTCTTCAGAAAATGTAAAAGTCTACATTTACATTTAGTCATTTAGTAGACGCTTTTGTCCAAAGCGACTTACAGATGAGGATAATGAAAGCAATCAAAATCAACAAAAGAGCAATGATATGCCGCAAGTGCTATGACAAGTGTCAGTTAGCCTAACGCAATACATGTAGCAAGGTTTTTTTTAAATTATATAATAAGTAAAAAGAAAACAGATAGAATAGAAAAAGAATAGAGCAGGGGTGCCCAATAGGACGATCGCGATCTACCAGTCGATCGCAAAGGCAATGCTGGTAGATCGCACATCATTTAAATAGCCTATGCTTTCTCAACCGGGGGGTGTGAGATAACTTAAAGCTAAAATATAATAAATTAGTCCTGGGCGATAGAACGGTATCCATATTTATCGACGTACTCCTTCATCGATAACGATAGAAAAAATGTTCGATATAGCGCACGATATAACGATAGACGATAGAAAAAATGTTCGATATAGCGCACGATATAGGCACGTGCTATGAGTGACGCACACACAAACACGAACATGAGTTGTGCCAGCCTGTGATGAGGAGATTGTGAATAAAAAAATTAATATTAATCGAATTTAAAATAAAAAAACGACATTTGAATGCGAAAATGGTACAGTCGAATGTTAGGTGTGCGTCAGGGAGCATCATCAGTGGTGCGCGAGATGCGGTGATGATGATGTAAGTGACGTTGTTGCAATTTAATGTTTTGTTAGTCTAGCCCACGAGACGTGCCGCTGCTGTGTTATTCATTCAAAATATTAGAGAAATATAGAAGCTCAGTGCTTAGAAGATCTTGATTAGGTTAAAACCGAAACCAAGCCATTCACACAGAACGCATATTCAGCACATTTTTAGATGGACAAATACGACTGCTGCACTCGCGTCTCACACAAGAGATGTAACCATGCAAAGTTAAAACGGTTTAAACGTTTAGAAAACACGTCGCGAATTTGTGGAGGTTTATTCCTTTTCACTGCATCTCATATGTTTTCAAATGCAATCTGTGTGATCGGCGATTCAGCTCGATGTGATGCTCTTTTGTTCATAATTGTTTATGCAATTTACGAAATTATATTTGATTTATATATGTTACTTTAGACGTTATGTTATGGACAGTTATTTCATTGCATTGACAATTTAATACGCTGCATAGTTTTGCTCATTGCGCCCTCCTGTGGCTTCGGGAGACAAGCCAAAAGTTTCCATAAGACTTATTTAATCTGCATATAACACATAAGAAAGAAGATATTTGTTTACATTTTATATTGTGTTTGACTGTTAAAACAAAATTGTTTATCTCAATAAATTGGGTAAATTAAAAACACAGTGGTTAAATGTAAACATTTTTTTCTATTGTGCTTTGTTTTAAAAAGGTTATAAAAAATGTCAATAATTATCGATACAGAACGATATGAAACATTATATCGTTGATAATTTTTTTAGCTATATCGCCCAGCCCTGTAATAAATTCACTTAGGCTATTTTATGATTAATATGTTAAAAAAAAATATATATAAATAAATAACAGCACCACTTCTCTACGTATTCTGTGATATTCTGTGTTTCAGAGCAGCTCTAGCTGTTTCTCATCGCGCTGTGTGAAACAGCCTAAGTTACTGCTGTATGAGCATATGATACGCAAACTACAGCTCCCGGCTGGATTAATCAAGCCAGGGTCACGTTAGTAAAGTTTTGATGGATGATGACTGTAATCAAGGTAAAGACGATTAGTGACAGATACAGGAGTCGAACATTGATGCGCAAACGAACCGTCAAGTCAAGTCACCTTTATTTATATAGCGCATTTAACAATACAGATTGTGTCAAAGCAACTGAACCATGTTTGTGCGCTAGTAGCGCACTGATCACTATAACATTTCTGCTTGAACACAGTTCAGTATATTCACGTAGTTGTATATAGTGAGTGTTTTATTATAACAGATGCTCGTTTTGGAGAAGTTTGTGAGGATCAGTGGTGTTTATGTAGCCTACATATGGGCATCAGACACTCCAAACACAGAATGTTTCCTAACAGAACTATTCACTGATGACATCGAGCCACCTTCAGATCGCTGAGGTTCCACACATTCAGAATGTTTTTATTTTTCATTTGTATTTTTTGGTGTGTTTAGTGATCCTGAATGGATCCATAGTAGTTTATATGCAGTCCTTTGGCGTCTCCCTGTGGTCTTGTTTGGAATGGCAGGTTGACTTGTGCTTATTTGTTACAATTATTGTATAATTGAGCTTTACGTACTTTTAAGTTGTATAGAATGTCTGCAGTGACAAAAAAGAAACAGTATGTTTCAATCTGTCTTGAATTTGTTTTGTTTAAAAATAATTACATGGAACTGAAAAGTAATAACACTAGAATACAAAGGTTTTTGTGAATAGAAAAGGTTGGGGGGGCTTGCAG